GGTGGGGGTGGGGCATATGAGTTGTGGCAGGGGAGTTTTTTTTACCCCATAGAAGGGGTATTTTTTCTACACCATAGAGGGGGAATTATGTGGATTGTGGGTATGAATTTTTCATTATTATTTTTGTAAAGTAACTTATTGTGTCTGTTTGATAACATTAAAATTGATTGAATTGATTGATACTGTTGAAATTTATGATGTTCGGGCTGAAGTGGCTGAATTGACTGATTCTGTTTGATGAATAGGGTTCCCCCCAAAAAACGTCAACATCATGCTTTTGTTCATTTTTCCATTAAAAAAATTTGCAAAATCCTTAAACAAATGTCAAAATAAATACAATACAAAATAATTAGTCCGTATAATCTAAAGATATTACATCCATCAGAACATAAAGTTTTGTAAGCAACCAAATCCTATTGGTAAAAAGATGTAAAAAGGTATTTTGACCATAGTAACTATGCTTAACATGTCACATTTTCATAAACAACCTTTATTTTAATCATATTTATGTAATCATTTTAAAAAGTTATATACATATATACCTAAATAACATTATATGTATAAATACTTATTTGAAGTTTTCTCATAAATTTATATTTAAGTTTAGTTTAGGAAAAACATAACACATTTTCACATATGTGCACACCCCTCGATTTGCCAGGTTACATCAGCAATTCGTCTAAATAATGTAATTCGTATAGATAAAGACATAACACATTTTCACATATCCGCACACCCCCTGATTTGCCAGGTTACATCGACAATTATTCGTCTAAATAATGCAATTCGTATAGATAAAGACATAACACATGTTCACATATCTGCACACCCCCTGATTTGCCAGGTTACATCATCAATTCGTATAGATAAAGATAAAGACATAACACATTTTCACATATCTACACCCCCCCTGATTTGTCAGGTTATATTAGCAATTCGTCTAAATAATGCAATTCGTATAGATAAAGACATAACACATTTTCACATATGTGCACACCCCCCGATTTGCCAGGTTACATCAGCAATTCGTCTAAATAATGCAATTCGTATAGATGTAATGTCACCATATTATTTAGTAATTATAAAAATTTATACCTTCAGTTAACATATATAGACCTTTGATTTGAAAATGAAAAAAATCTTTGTCAAAAATTTACTTCAATGAAGGATTTTAATAAGGGAAATTTTTTTAATGTGAGTAAATAAGTTTGAGAATTCCAAAATAAGATTGTCATGTTTTTTATTACAAAAATAGGTGTAATTAATGTCAAGCTTGAAAAATATTGTCATGCTTAAGGTCCAATTTTGGAATACACAAAACTTTTTTTATCCTATTTAGTGTAATTTCCCTTTTAACAAGGGTTAATGCTAGACAGAAGGTACAAAAAGTGTTTCATAAAATTCGCCATGGAATGTAATTTGTTTTCAAATGATGTTTATATTGCGTGTTACTTACTATTTTGCGGGCTATAAAAAATAATGTACTACTCTATAATCATTAGTAAATTGTACTCCCTCCGTCCCGTTAGAAGGTTCCCACTTTCCTTTTTTGGACGTCCCATTAGAAGTTTCCCATTTCCATTTTAGGAAACTATTAACAATCTTAAGTGACAAATTAGTCATTAAATATTAAAAATAATACATTTATAACATCACAGTTATCAATACTAACACATTATAATATATACCTATTAAAATTATTTCTCAAAATATACCCAAAGTACTTTATTTAATTATCACTTAAATAACTGTGCCGTTTTGCTATGAGAACCTTCTAGCGGGACGGAGGTAGCAATTTATATGTTTCATTTACGTCAAGTTTTATTACTGTATGGAGTATAATTCTAAACAATTCAATTAAAATTACAAGTTTTTTTAATTAAAATGTTGGCTAATGTTAATTATACTCGCGGAATTTCACCAATCGTGCATCGCACGGGTATTGATGAAGAAGAAGGAACCACTGAACAAGAATCAGAATGTTGTATTCAAAAAGAATTCAACAATGTTTAGGGTTACATGAAATGTATATTTACAATGTTATGATTTCTAAGTATTTGTTGGATGTTTTTTATCTTTTAAGTAATGTTTAGTGTTCTCATTTTAACTATAATATATATTATAAGTGTGTTTTGTTTATTGCTTGAAGTTATATCAATATTCCATGAAGATAGATACTCTGTTCAATTGATAGTGTAATTTGAATTAGTGAACAATAACAAATTTGAAGAAAAATTTTCAAAACGTGCATCGCACGGGTGAGTTTACTAGTTCATTTCAATCCAATAGAGATGTCCACGACGTTTCATATTACTCCGTACTTTTATTTTTAATTTTAAACGTGGTGATTCTTTGAATAAAAATAAAATGTGGGTTTTAATGCACTTTTTTTAAAAATGTGATTTCAATTTTTGATGAATTTGTTCTTTAATGTTTTGGAGTATAAATTCAGCCCTTCAATATTTTGTTTTTTAATAATTAATATGTTCTTTAATGTAATTTCATATTATTTCGACACATTTTCAGTTCTTTTTGTCAAACGGGTCTATTTCAATCAGTTAGTAATTCAGGTCCAGATAATGATTTTTGATTCAGACAATAACCTCTAGTTCAGACATTAGCCGTCAGTTCTAGCTCGTTGTGCCAAACATGGCCTTAGTAAAGACACTTTAAGCGCATGTTTCGGTTAGTAAGTATTTTTTTAAGTAGCCTAGGCGATTACTTCACTTGTCTTACTGACCTAACTGTGACTTTAGCAGCGAAGTAAACACACCCTAAGTGTTTTTCAGCTTTTGGCTTAAAAAAAGCTGAAATGAGTATTTTCAAATCACAGCCCCGACTTAAATTAAACACTTAAAAGCTAAAAGTTGGAAGTAGGCCTGGACTCGGGCCGGTCGGCCCGACCCGGAACCGGCCCGGCCCGGCCACTGTAGCAACCGGCCCGGCCCGGTGGCCCGGTCCACCGGCGGTTCGGGTCGAACCGGCCCGGTGGTTCCCGGTTCCGGGCCCGGGCCTCCCATATGGTGAACCGGCCCGGCCGGTTCGGGCCCGGTCCGGGCCGGAAATAATTTTTTTTTTTATTTTTTTTTGAAAATTTTTTATGTTTTGGGTTAGATTAGGTATTTTGGTCCATTTGAGGTGGTTTGGGGTGGTTTGGGGTTGAGAAAGAGGGGTAGGGGATTAAATAAAGAAGCCAAAAAGGAAAAAAAAAATAGGGCGGGTGGCCCGGCCCGGAACCGGCCCGGTCTGGCCCGGAACCGGCCCGGAACCGGCCACCCCCGGTTCGGGCTCGGGCCTCAATATTCTGAACCGAGGCCCGGCCGGGCCCAGGCCCGAGGCCCGAACCGGCCCGGTTCAGTCCAGCCCTAGTTGGAAGCATATGAAAAGATGCTATAAATTGCTTTTCATTTTTTCTATTACACAAAAACACTTATTTTATTAGAACACTACCATTATTTATTTTTTCGGAAGCACTTTTTTGTCAAACACTATCTACTTTTATTATTAAGTAATTTCTTCAAAATCATTTTTTTGGAAAGTAGAAGCAATCTCAAATAGTTGGCTGAACAACTATTTTCCTGAATCCATTCTATAGGATTCAGTTGCGGAAGCGGTAAGGATGGCAATGGGGGTGGGGACCCACGGGAACCGCCCCGTGGGGGAAGGATGGGGCGGGGCTTGGGGTGGGGGTGGGGATGGGTGAGATATATCTACCCCGCTAAAACATGGGGCGGGGGATGGGGATTACTACACCCGCCCCGTCCCCGCCCCGTACCCGTTATAATTAAATGTATACTCAAACATACATATACACACATACACATATTAATAACTAGTTTTTGGCACGCGCGTTGCGTGATTGAGTAAATGCCCAATATAGCATATAATGTGAACATTATGTGAATACATTTTTTTAATCTTTGATAGGGGATGAGGTTGAACTATATATTAAAATAAAGTATAATGAGAACAAACCACTATATAGGAGTTTGATTATGCATCCAAACATAGGCCCATCCATGGCTTATATAACTTAAACTCAAATTCAAATAGCAACAAAGTTACATAAGCAATAACCCAAATAATGACACGAACTAAAGTAGTTGGAGACAAAATTGCTTAAAAGTCGAATTTTAATTTGAGGTAGCAAACACATCTCATCCCAAAAAGATTCATCGAGGCAAAGATATAGAGTTATAACACAACCAAGCCTAGGGGCAGGTCCAGGGCACTGCCTTAAAAATTACACAGATTTTTTTGTGGAAAAAATACACAGAATTTTTTTACCTTAAAAATTAAGGCATTTTTTACAATTTAGGGTGGGTTAGGGCCAAGGTTGGCCATCCCATAGCTCCACACCTGGTCACGCCTAATGTAGCTCCTAGTTTCAATAGGACCTCGAGATTGCCAATTCATAGTGTCATTTAAAGTTTGAAGAAGCCAAATATATGCTATACTTTAAGTTTTTTAAGAAAGTGAAATTTTTGCTTTGGACTTTTCCATCATACCCCTTAAAAAGTAGATTAGAAGATTTTATGTTGTTGAGAGAGAAAGTGGATGTCAAGTAGATAATAAAGTAAGAGTATAAGAGTAACTTTATTTTGGAAGTGTAAAGTTTATTTTGGATCAGCCCAAAAAGGAAAGTGTGGATTTATTTAGGTTTGTATTCGCACGAATTGGTTGACGCATTCTCAACGATGTTGTTTGAGTTAAGATTTCAAATTCGCACAAACAACAAATGTGTGAGAGTTTCATTCAAAATGATAACAAAAGTCCTTGTATTCACCAAACTCTGAACCATTCCTTTAAAAAAAATGGTGTGAGTTTAAAACTTCATTTACCCTTCCTCCACTTTCTAAGTCTGGTGAGGGACTTTGAGTTTGGTCCAAGAGCGAACGATTACATTTGATTCTCTTGTTATTTTAAACTCCATCTGAATGCTATTTTATTTATCTAAGCCCCCTTCTTCCCAAAAAAAACCGGTGAGGGACTGTGGGAGCGGAGCACCATAGGTCGACTATTCCCTCTTTTGAGTTGAAAGATCCAAGTGTGTATTTCAATTTTCTTGGGTCTCTTCTGATGCACGCAAACACTTTTAGAAAAGAATCTTTTATGATTTGATGATACTACCAGGAAAACAGATGCCCTTTCCTTCTTACAACATGAATTGAAGATTTCTCCTTTCTATTTCAGGCCCAACAAATTTGAATATGACATTGGATAAGAAATCTGAATCCAGCAATTCAAGGAAAAGAAATTGATAACACAACAGCAATTGATAAATTAAATTAGACAACCCCAAATTAAAAACACACACACACATTGATAGCCACAGAAGAAAACGGATAACAGTTAGAAACTAAATTAACCTCCAGCTGCTGCTAATCATATGAAGCTGGGGGCCTGGGGCAGGAGGACTGACCTCTTCAGGTTTTCTGCACAGAATCGTATGCATTGGAGTAGGGTTGTTGATAGCCGTTATATTTACTTGTGTTTAACATAAGTATTTATAAGTATTTGTTGAAGAAAAGAAGAGAAATCGGGCAAATACCTCCAGAATGAGAGCTTGATCATAAAACATTGCGATGAACGACTTTTTGGACCAAGAGAATGACGTTCTGCCCATAATTTGAGTATAACGTATTCTATAGAACTCGAAATCACTCGATTCGAGTTTCATGTGAATGCTAACTCAATAAGGTACAAATGTTATGAAGACGTCATGACCAAAATATGAAAGGAACAAGACTCAATCAACCAACAAAGTCAGATGTTGCTGGTGGGATTTCAGGATGCATACCTCTCAGTGTTTTATCCATATCTCTTGATTGGCTGAATAAAATCATGTCATTCAAGTTTTGTTGGATAGAAGACTTCATTATCTACAACTTTGGTGAAGGAATCATGTCCAAATTCGTAGCGGAACATCCCCAAAATCCCAGGACAAAACCGACACCGGAATTTGCACCAAACCGGCGCCCGTTTGTTGATTTTCACATGTACACAAACCAGTAGCTTACCCGGCGCCGGGTAGGCCTTATACCCGGCGCCGGGTAGGCCAAAATTTCATATTTCCCTGCGCACAATGAAGAACCGGCGCCGGGTAGGCCTGAAGGCCGGCGCCGGGTAGGCCTGATCCTGCAAATACAAAAGATCGTGCTGAGATATATTGATGGAAAAAACTCACCTTCCTCATGAGCTAATCAAATATATCTTCCATGCTTGATTGTTGGGCTCGAATAGACTAAAAGATGTCAATCTTTAGCCTATATAAAGCCCCCAATTCATCAAACCTCATCATCAATCCATTCTTGGAGCAAAAAATTCACTTTTTATATTTTATTTTTTGCATTCTCTTGAAGTGTTGGAGAAGAAGCCATTTCTCTCCTCTACAATTGGTTCTAGGTATTATTTCTTGTATGTTATTGTATTTCCTTTATCTTAGTTACACTTTTGTAATTAATATGAGCATTAGAGGCTAAGTTCTTAGCTAAGGCTAGGGATGAACTTCTATGCCTACTAGGTGTTTGATAAAAGTTCTAAACCAATAAATTGTGATTTATCCTTTACATTTTGATTGTTTATAACTATGGTGTACAACATAGAAGTATGTTAAACTTAGTTTATGCTTGCAATTAACGTTGAGGTCTAAACTATGAACATTAAAGGATAAACATATATATTACTGAGAATAGAAATATATCCGGTATTATATGATACGGGTGTGATGTCTTGATATTCAACGGGGTTTTCGGTAGATGAATGTAAGCCGTAACGGGACTTACACGTAACGAAAACCACGCTCTCGCTGCCTTAACCGGAGTTGAGAATATATTAGCGACATCGTATTCATAATTATTAGTAAAGAACTAATATTCAACCCTATTAAAGCATTTAAGTGATTCCCGAAGCCTTAGTTGTTGTTATCAATCACTTTAATCAAATTAATTCAAGTTATATCTCCGAAAATTAAAAAGAAGAACCAAGTTGTTGTTTTCACAACAACACACAACTCAAAATCCCTGCACTTTACTCATTTACTTATTCAAAGTCATCTACTCGCGGACTAAATTAAACAACGTTTCCCTGTGGATTCGACCCGGTATTTTACCGGAATTTATTACTATATCGGCACTTGTACACTTGCAAGTTCAGCCCGGTCAAGTTTTTGGCGCCGTTGCCGGGGAAACGGTCTTGTTTAATAAAGTCCAAACAATCAACCAATCAAAAATCCTGAATTTATTTTTCACAATTTCACTTGATCTTGGAAGGATTTTTGTTTTTGCTTGTGTAGATATTCCCTTGTGTTTGCATGCAATTGAGAGGTCAAGGTTCTAAAATTCTTGAACCACTTGATCTTGAAATAGAAAAAACTTGCAAACACATTCGAAGAGAGCAAAAAACTACAAAGATGTTGCCAACTTTGAATGAGAGGAAGAGACCCGTGGTGGCCGCTACACCATCTTGCATCACCTTGAGCGAGGAAGCAAGAGACTATGAGCTAAGGCAAAGCTACTTCAACGCTATGCCTCAGTTTCATGGTTTGCTTGGGGAAAATCCACTCAACTTCATCACGGAGTTCTACGAATTCATTCAAGGAATCCCTAGAAATGGCTTGGCGGAGGATCAACTCAAGCTCAAATGCTTCCCCTATACTCTCAAAGGGGCGGCAAGAGGATGGTTCCTAGAGCAAGCTCCGGCAAGCTACACAACATGGGAAGGTATATACAATGCCTTCATGTCTAAGTACTACACGCCCACCATGACTCAAGAGCTTAGACAACGCATTTTCAATTTCAAACAACAAAATGGTGAGCTCTTTCAAGACGCATGGCGGCGTTTCAAATCATTGCTAAGGGAATGCCCACATCACCGCATTCCCCTAGACCTTCAAATTGACACGTTCTACAATGGTTTGAATGCACCTTGTCAAGCCATTGTGGACAACCGAGCCGAGGGCTACATTGGAAATAAAAATGAAACTGAGGCACTCCGAATCATTGAATCTATTGCCTCAAATCCTCAACTTCAAGGAGGCGATTACAAGGTGGTCGGGATGAATGAAATCTCTATCACAACCGAGATTAACAAAAGGCTTGAACAAATGGAATCAAAAATTGAGCAAAAATTCCAAACGGCCCTTCAAGCCGTATTGGGAGGAGTCAAGCAAATAGCTAATGTGGAGAGCATTCAAAGTCCGGAAGGCAATTTATCTCAACATCTTGAAGAGGTAAATTTCATGAACTCTTATGGGAACCGGGGAAACAATAATCCTTCTAATCAACAAAGGTGGAACCAAGGGAGCAATTGGAAGCCACAACCCCAATCCGGAGCACCTAATTTTGGGCCGTGCAAGGAAACCACCATGGAGGATATGATGCAATTCATATCCAAGAGCATGGAAAGCATGAAGGCTCAAAATGAAGAGAACCATAGTAGAGTGGAGGCATCCATTGGGAATCTCCACTCTCAATTCAACAAGTTGGATCTTCGCTTTGAAGATCAAAATATAAAGCTCAACCAACGCATCGACACCATTGAGCAATATGCCAAGGCGTCAATCCGAAATCTTGAAGTTCAATTGGGGCAACTCGCCCAAAAAGTGAGTTCTAGAGAGCAAGGTAAACTCCCTACAACTACGGAGGTAAACCCGAGGGAGAGCGTCATGGCCATTACCACAAGAAGCGGGAGGCAAACGGAGGATCCCAAGATGCCGGAGAGAAGAAAGACACCGGAGGAACAAGAAGAGGTTTCACATACACCGTTGCCACCTATTATGCCTCAATATGTTCCTCCCATCCCTTATCCACAAAAGTTGAAGAAGAAAGGAGATGAGAAGAAACACAAGAAAATTCTTGATATTTTCAAGAAATTGAGCATCAACATACCTTTTGCGGAGGCCATTGCGGAGATTCCATCATACGCAAAATTTCTCAAAGGCATCATCTCCAACAAAAAGAAGTTAGAGGAATTCGCAACTGTAGCACTAACGGAGGAATGTAGTGCCATTATTCAAAACAAACTTCCTCCAAAACTCAAAGACCCCGGAAACTTTACTATTCCATGCTCTATTGGAAAAATCGGGGAGGTAAGGTCTCTTTGTGACCTTGGTGCTAGCATAAATCTTATGCCCTACTCCCTATTTAAAAAGCTAAGTGTGGGGGAACTCCAACCAACAACGGTTGCTTTGCAATTAGCGGATAGAACAATCCGCTATCCGATAGGTATCATGGAGGATGTCCTTGTGAAAGTTGGAAAATTCTACTTCCCGGTAGATTTTCTTGTTTTGGACATGGAAGAGATGGAAGTTCCAGTCATCCTTGGGAGATCATTTTTGGCCACCTCCGCAGCCGTCATTGATGTACAAGCGGGAACCGTAAGACTAAGAGTGGGAGAAGACGATGAAACATTCCATGTATGGAAAACACAATCCATTCTAACTCAAAACTTGGAGGTCAACACAAATCCTTTTACTCCTCCCAAGCCCATAAACATCATGGACATCAAGAAGGCACAAATATTTGGGCCCGAGGACCCTCCCACACACCCCGAGAGCAAAAAGAACAGGCCTCCAACTCCATGGCCTCCCCACGATCTCAAAAAGGTAACATTGGTCAAACGTCTTCGGGAGCACAATCACACGTGAGAGGTACGTTGCGTCCGGCCTATGACGTTAAACTGAGCGCTAATTGGGAGGCAACCCAACAAATTCAATTATAAATAAATATGTTTAGTTAAATACATATTCATATTTATTTATAATTGAAACAACAACAAAAAAACACAAAAAAAAACAAAAAAAAAAAGAAAAAGAAAAAGAAGCATCATCTAAACTCATGTATCATGCATCTCCTACTCTCACAAGACGGCCCATTCCGCTATTGAAGATTTCATCTTCCATTACATCCTCCAATGTACATTGAGGACAATGTATCTCAAGTGTGGGGGGTGCATCTCATGGTTAGTTAAACAAATTTTGTGTGCAAAATAATATTTTTTTAGGAAGGTAAAAGTTGTGATAATTCTCTTTTTAATGGGTATTTGGTTGAGAAAGTTTTTATTATTCACATAAACTATCATTTTTTTTAGATTTATTACACTACTTTTACTCTTGAAAATCATTCCCAAAATAAACCTTGTGACTAGGAAACATCATCTTCTTCCATGTCCAAAAATGGTTTAAGTACATCTCAAATATTCAAGAACCATTTTGGAAAACAAGCCACCCTCATGTCTCATCAAATAAATTGGGATCATCAAAATGACTTTCAGAAAATACTTGTGAGAACCAATTCAAATGAGTTATAAAAAAAAACCTCATGGTCTCTCCCAAGAACTCCAATTGATCCAATTCTATACTGAAAAGTCAAATACACCAAAAAGCCATTCTACACACCCAAAAAGTCTTAGTCACAATCCACTCATCTACTCTCAAGTGTATAAGTCATTTTTCTAAATCTAATGATAGTTTTGTGTGTCTAATAGAAATTTGGTTTTGGACCGAGAATGATAAAGGAGTTTACATAATTTTATACCTCCCTTAAAAATAAAATTATTTTTGTGCATATATTTTTGTTGAAACTAACCAAGGCATCCAAGGTGAAGAAATTGCTCGAGGACGAGCAATGCTCAAGTGTGGGGGGATTTGATAGCCGTTATATTTACTTGTGTTTAACATAAGTATTTATAAGTATTTGTTGAAGAAAAGAAGAGAAATCGGGCAAATACCTCCAGAATGAGAGCTTGATCATAAAACATTGCGATGAACGACTTTTTGGACCAAGAGAATGACGTTCTGCCCATAATTTGAGTATAACGTATTCTATAGAACTCGAAATCACTCGATTCGAGTTTCATGTGAATGCTAACTCAATAAGGTACAAATGTTATGAAGACGTCATGACCAAAATATGAAAGGAACAAGACTCAATCAACCAACAAAGTCAGATGTTGCTGGTGGGATTTCAGGATGCATACCTCTCAGTGTTTTATCCATATCTCTTGATTGGCTGAATAAAATCATGTCATTCAAGTTTTGTTGGATAGAAGACTTCATTATCTACAACTTTGGTGAAGGAATCATGTCCAAATTCGTAGCGGAACATCCCCAAAATCCCAGGACAAAACCGACACCGGAATTTGCACCAAACCGGCGCCCGTTTGTTGATTTTCACATGTACACAAACCAGTAGCTTACCCGGCGCCGGGTAGGCCTTATACCCGGCGCCGGGTAGGCCAAAATTTCATATTTCCCTGCGCACAATGAAGAACCGGCGCCGGGTAGGCCTGAAGGCCGGCGCCGGGTAGGCCTGATCCTGCAAATACAAAAGATCGTGCTGAGATATATTGATGGAAAAAACTCACCTTCCTCATGAGCTAATCAAATATATCTTCCATGCTTGATTGTTGGGCTCGAATAGACTAAAAGATGTCAATCTTTAGCCTATATAAAGCCCCCAATTCATCAAACCTCATCATCAATCCATTCTTGGAGCAAAAAATTCACTTTTTATATTTTATTTTTTGCATTCTCTTGAAGTGTTGGAGAAGAAGCCATTTCTCTCCTCTACAATTGGTTCTAGGTATTATTTCTTGTATGTTATTGTATTTCCTTTATCTTAGTTACACTTTTGTAATTAATATGAGCATTAGAGGCTAAGTTCTTAGCTAAGGCTAGGGATGAACTTCTATGCCTACTAGGTGTTTGATAAAAGTTCTAAACCAATAAATTGTGATTTATCCTTTACATTTTGATTGTTTATGACTATGGTGTACAACATAGAAGTATGTTAAACTTAGTTTATGCTTGCAATTAACGTTGAGGTCTAAACTATGAACATTAAAGGATAAACATATATATTACTGAGAATAGAAATATATCCGGTATTATATGATACGGGTGTGATGTCTTGATATTCAACGGGGTTTTCGGTAGATGAATGTAAGCCGTGACGGGACTTACACGTAACGAAAACCACGCTCTCGCTGCCTTAACCGGAGTTGAGAATATATTAGCGACATCGTATTCATAATTATTAGTAAAGAACTAATATTCAACCCTATTAAAGCATTTAAGTGATTCCCGAAGCCTTAGTTGTTGTTATCAATCACTTTAATCAAATTAATTCAAGTTATATCTCCGAAAATTAAAAAGAAGAACCAAGTTGTTGTTTTCACAACAACACACAACTCAAAATCCCTGCACTTTACTCATTTACTTATTCAAAGTCATCTACTCGCGGACTAAATTAAACAACGTTTCCCTGTGGATTCGACCCGGTATTTTACCGGAATTTATTACTATATCGGCACTTGTACACTTGCAAGTTCAGCCCGGTCAGTTGTATACGAACCAAATCGAGTCGAATAATAAGATTTTATATTTGTATTTGTTTCATTTTTTTGAATACGAATTCGAATTCAAATATGAAACAAATATTAATTTCAATTTGTATATGTTTAACAATACGAATAGTTAACGAATCATATACGAATATCGAATCAATTTGAGCATAAGTTAAATATTAGTCAAATATTACTTAAAATAACTTTTCTTATACTCCGTATTTTTTATGTTGTAAATGCATGCTATGAGTTATATGTGTTTTTAGAATGTAAATTTAATGGATAAATGCATTTTTAGATGATGCACAATATACTAAAGTGAATTAATTTTATGATTAATAAATATAAATCTATTTCAAACTTTTTTAAATAAACACTAACACACACATATTAGAAATTCTGAAATTAAATTCATAATGTGTGAAATAAGTTGATAAATGTATATATCAAAGTCAAACAACTCTAATTTTTAATCTTCAAATCGAATACATAATTATTTGTATAGTACCTGAAAGACATCTGAACCAAATATTGATTTGTATTCGTATTTATATTCTGGTTTATTACAAATGGGCTTCGAATCTGTATGCAAAAATGTATATATGCGCTACACTGTGAGGGTATTGCTATCTTTTAAAAGTTATTATACTGTTATTATTATTATTATTATTATTATTATTATTATTATTATTGATGGAGTATATTCTCATACACCACAGGGGTATCATAAATCGGCGGTAGAAAGCACTGCGGCTCCATCAGAGGCGCAGAAGCACCAAGTCCACAGTCCGAGACTGACCCCGACCACCGAGGTCGGGAAAACACCAGGCTCAGAAATCAGCCGAACTCGGTGAATAATGAAGTCAGCCTACCCCGACCCCGACCCCGAGGTCGGGAGAACATCGGGCTCAGGAATCAACTTAACTTGACAAGTTATGAGCCCGACCTCGATGCACCCGAGGTCGGCACCAAGTCAAGACCCGAAAGTCAAACATTTGGTCAACGATGGTCAAGCACCAGGCAGTCAACTATCGTCAGCACAGGAACAAAGGGCAAAAGGGCGGATCCTTTCAACACGAGCCCGAGCTCCCAGATATCGACCTCAGTGGTCCCCAAGGTCAGGATAAAACGCCATGTACTTAGATAGAATCCGCAAGGATTCGTCTCACAAGGAGACACCGCCGCGTCACTCTCTGCGCCAAAGGAATATTCCAGGTTATCCACGTGCACCCACACGGGACTTCTGGCGGGAATTCTGTTAGAAGAATAATCAATCAGCCAGCTATCAAGGGTTCTATCTCCAATCAGCTTTACACGTGGCCGCCCCTCATTGAATTGGGTTGTTAGTTTGTTAGAATAGCTTTACATGTGTCCTTCTTCCATTAGACTAACATCTTTGGCTTGGCCTCCAAGTATTTCCTCTTTCCTTAGTATAAATATCACCTTCCAACTTGTGGAAGAGGATGCTTAATCTATTGCACTCTTGACACTTATACACTGGGACTTTTCCGATCTGTACTTTCCCATCAGTTTGCTCTCTTTTCTACTCTCATTCTCGGTGGATTCCGGCCACCCCTGGTCCGACGATCCATCAATTATTATTATTATTATTATTATTATTATTATTATTATTATTATTATTATTATTATTATTATTATTATTATTATTATTATTATTATTATTATTATTATTATTATTATTATTGTTATTATTATTATTATTATTATTATTATTATTATTATTATTATTATTATTATTATTATTATTATTATTATTATTATTATTATTATTATTATTATTATTATTATTATTATTATTATTATTATTATTATTATTATTATTATTATTATTATTATTATTATTATTATTATTATTATTATTATTATTATTATTATTATTATTATTATTATTATTATTATTATTATTATTATTATTATTATTATTATTATTATTATTATTATTATTATTATTATTATTATTATTATTATTATTATTATTATTATTATTATTATTATTATTATTATTATTATTATTATTATTATTATTATTATTATTATTATTATTATTATTATTATTATTATTATTATTATTATTATTATTATTATTATTATTATTATTATTATTATTATTATTATTATTATTATTATTATTATTATTTATGATACTAATATTACTATTATTAATTGAATATATTTGATTAATATTCGAATCGAATACACTGAAATTCTTATTTGTATTTGATAACAACTTGAATCAAAATTAATATTCTTATTTGTATTTGTATTTTCCGAATTCGAATCGTCTTATGCGAATTCGAAGTACGAATCGAGCACAAATTATTTGATTTGTTTACAACCCTACATTGGAGTGAATATTCTGCGCTCTACTCCTCTGGTCAAATAGTCAGTGGCAAGAAAGAGCATTTCACGGACATCCACCATGATGAGAGTGCCAAACCTAAATTTGGAGAAGTCCAACGACGAGATGAGAACCACATGATATCCATTTGATATCATTTGTAAACAGCACTTGAAAGCTAAGATCAATATATATATATATATCATCGACAATTTTCATATTGTACGCATAATGCATTGAGTTTAACTTTTAATGAATAGGAGTTTTTTTTTTTACTAAAAAGTAGGGGAGTGAGTCATCTTTTAAAAAAATTCACGTGATGATATTTTTCTCTCACTAAAAAACCATTCCATTCCGTTCTATTATAACTACTGAAAAAAGGAAAGAATAATCAACTAAACTTTAGATAGTCAAAGAAAATACCAGCGGAGTTAGGAGTGGTAGATTAGGGGAGGATTTTATGAACCCAAATTCCCTAGGAGTGTGTTTTCACAAGGAAACAAAATCCCAGACCGCCAGTGACTTGTCATTTTTTAGATTCCCCCAGCCACTATATAGAAGCAAATAACATTCTTGCTTAGTGGTTTGTCCACATTACAAGGATATCACATGTTGTAAACATTTAGGACATATTTCATATCATTGTTGTTGGGGAAAAAGATGAGAAATCATAAGAACATAAGCTCAATAAAACAAAGGAAAGGTATATATAGAAGAAAATGCCGAGAAACGTTATGATAACAACAATCATGAGATTAATTCAGAAAAGAAAGTGATTGAACCATAACCTGATGATATTGAGTCATTGTGTGGTGAACTGGAAACAGTCAAAATCTCCGCAAGGAGGTAGAGTGTATGGATTCGTGTACAATTATGTGATAGGCACTAGTGATAGAAGGTAAGATCAAAGTTGGAGGAAAGCTGAACAATAAATCTAGCAAAGTTTTCAGGAAAGAGGAGATTGTGAAATAATCTCCTTAAGAGTAATTTCAGCTTCATATTTTGGTTTGCATACCATATGAACTCATTAGAGTAATAGACATGAGGATCCCCCTTTTCCTAATAAATTCTCTAGCCAGAGAAACATAAAAAAGACCTATAATACCTGAAATTCATATTTTAGTTTTCAAAATCAATTCCATCAAAGGAAATACCTAAACAAATGACTTAACGTTATTCTTTCTTCATCATTACTTTACTAAAATAATCCACTTTTACTAAGACCATATGGAAGAACTATATAATTTACCCTACACCACTTAGGCAAAGAGCACATTGGGTCGGTCAATCATGCTAATTTACAACAGTATAGTTATTCACCATAAACTTAGAAGACATCTAAAATGCTTTACGGTATAGTATATCACTTCATAACTCAAACACACAAAACAGGAATGGTCGGGTTAATAATTGATGAGACATGTTTTTCCTGTTAGACTTTTTCGCACAATTTATTCATTTGCATTTTAGAAAGATTTTATGTGCAACTTTAAACTGGATTTGATATAACAACGAAAGCCCTAATCCAAAGAGTGTGAATTATACAGAATTAACATTTGACGAGATTAATTGATAGAGCATTGTAAGTATATTTTAACTAAATATATGTAAAACAAATCAGTAACGGCAAATTACTTATTCGAAAAAGAGAAAATAATTTTTACTGATTAACAATTTGCCGTTACACATGAAGATACCAATATAAATCAAAAGCGGTTAGTGATGTCTATTTACAACTACTCCGTGAAGCACACAAGTTGATTAAGTTCGCTATAGCCAAGTAAACAAACTATTTTAAGGGGTTTTAAAAATAGGTTGAGCTAAGATGACCTAAAGAGATACATTTGATTCAATTTCACAACTACACTCACCTTTAACCTAAAATTCTTCTCAAATCAACCATAAAACTATAAGTGTACCAATTTCAAACTAAAAATCTAAATATTAAACAAATTTTTGGAAACAAACAAAGGACTCTCACTCGAAGATCAAAGGACCCTTTCAATAGAACAAAAATGTACTGAAAATCTAAACATTAAACAAATTTTTGGAAACAAACAAAGGACTCTCACTCGAAGATAAAAGGACCCTTTCAATAAAACAAAAATATGTCTTAGTCATACATCAACTCATTTAATGTTCAAAAACTGCTTAAGTTTTGCAATGAACGTAGACAATAGATGAAAATATATTTCTACAGCCTTGAAATAATATATAAAAACGTAACATTACCATCAGATTTCTAACTACTGGATATGTTTGGCATCAATGATTTCACTACCTGACATACATGTGAGAGGTGCTTAAAGATGGTATGGAGTATTACATTTGGTGTGTAGAGTACATTTGGTACATTGCTCAATCCCGAGTAAAGTACTTTTCCCCTTATCCTTGGTTTCTTTGTTGAAGTCATATCAAGGAGAACTTAAGCCAAATATTATACTATATGATTACATCATGTGTTCGTCAGTTTCTTTAAAAGGGTTAATTTCAGTAGGCTCAAGTTCAACTGTTCAATTGTACTGACTGGGAGTTCAAAACATCAGATCAATGGCTGTGTTTTTGCAAGGATCCCAATGAGAAAATTTATTTCTTATAAGTTATTGTGATTACTCAGTAATCTTTTACTCACACCTTAGCGATAGGTCACCTTAAACACTTACATGTGACCTACTGATTTTGGCCATAGATATAAAGGACACATGTAGGATAACTGATTTTAGTCATAGATAGAATGACTTAGCGATCCGTGATTTGTTTAATTTGGGAGAACTATATATAAAGTTTAAAGTTACAGGTTGAAAAAGGTTAAACCTTCACCCAATTACAAAGTACAATTCCAGCCCTGCACGCACCTAAAAGCTTCCAAACCTCTGTCTCTGCACCTAAGAATATTTATTATTTAGTCACGAACACTAAATATTCCCTGATACCACCTCGCTGTAGTTATCTCATATCCTTCAGATTGATATTTGGGTTTCTCAATGACTCCTCTGAAGCTAAACTTTTCCTTCAAAGTATTTTGTCTTTATCTTTTTACTATTTTTTAATCTTTTTCTCAAAGGAGTGAACTTTGTGTGCATAGATCTGGACATGCTATTATTACATTTCATTGAGATTTAACCTATTACTGAGGACAAAATTTTGATTTTAGATTTTTAGGTTACATGGAAAAATTTTATGTTAAAAATACATAAACTTTAGCATAAACTTTATGAAGTAGCTGTTCCATGCCGTTTTAGAAACTCTGGATTCATTTTATATTTGACTTTTACTATGAGATTGTTTAAACTTTGCCTATGCCCAAGTGAGCTTGAAAAGGCAGATGATTATATATGAGATTTATTCCTATTTTGCTAATACTATAATTACCAAGTTTAACCATTAATTAATGGTGTTTAATATAAACATTGGTTAGTAATATGTTTAACATTTGGATTTCTCTTTAGTGGTTAAAATGCATAAACTTTTTCCATTCTAAAAATTGGTCGGCCAACTTTTCGCAAATAGCAAAAAGCCAGGTTCTCTAAAATGAAAACATTGCAATGTGTTTAGAAGGAAAAATAGAAGCAATCAAACCCATTTGTTGGAGATTGGAGAGAAAGAGCCTGTCTGGTTATAAAAATGTGAATTTTGTCAAGGGTTATTTTTAACTAAATATATGTAAAACAAATCAGTAACGGCAAATTACTTATTCGAAAAAGAGAAACTAATTTTTACTGATTACCAATTTGCTGTTACACATGAAGATACCAATATAAATCAAAAGCGGTTAGTGATGTCTATTTACAATTACTCAGTGAAGCACACAAGTTGATTTAGTTCACTATAAGCCAAGTAAACAAATTATTTTAAGGGGTTTTAAAAATAGGTTGAGCTAAGATGACCTAAAGAGATACATTTGATTCAATTTCACAACTACACTCACCTTTAACGTAAAATTCTTCTCAAATCAACCATAAAACTATAAGTGTACCAATTTCAGACTGAAAATCAAAATATTAAACAAATTTTTGGAACAAACAAAGGACTCTCACTCAAAGATAAAAGGACCCCTTCAATAGAACAAAAATGTACTGAAAATCTAAATATTAAAAAAAAATTGGAAACAAAGGACTCTCACTCGAAGATCAAAGGACCCTTTCAATAAAACAAAAATATGTCTTAGTCATACATCAGCTCATTTAATGTTCAAAAACTGCTTAAGTTTTACAATGAACGTAGACAATAGACGAAAATATATTTCTACAGCCTTGAAATAATATATACAAACGTAACATTACCATCAGATTTCTAACTACTGGATACGTTTGGCCTAAAAATGGACTAAGCTTCTTCACACAAAAACAAAAATCAAATTCATCATTGAATAGGAAAAGACCATATCTGAAACAATATCTAACGTCAATAGCTACAAAAAATTAGATATATTAAAAATGTAAAACTTACAGATTGAAAGATTTTGACTCAATATATGTTGCAGATCTATGGTAGTAAGTTTAAGCTTGTGTGAAGTTTATGTTTGGTAGGAGTTTTCTCTAAGGAGACATGTTATACACTTTTCTTGGAGTTTAATAGGTGGGACAACGCTTAGCATACATGTTTGGTAGGCATTTTTTTAAAAATGAGAAGAATATTTCATGAGTTACCATCTTTACGGGTTATCTCTTTTGCATATTTATTTGATAACCAAAGAGTTTCTTGTAGGATTTTGCTAATGTAGATAACAATCTTCAACAGAAGAAAATGTGACTAAGCAAACTTAATGATTACATTTCCCAATCTGAATTATCTAATGTGATTAACATATATTTTCAAGTTTATTTCGGCCATGGCAAGCTTAGTCAACACACCTTTCAACTTCTATATACCTTTTCTGGTTCAATTTATATTCAGCTATTTACATTACTTTATAGGGCAAAATGTGTTATGTACGATTCAGTTGTTATATCATACCGCAAATGTAATTTTTTACGAAAAATGGCAAGTAAAGTAACACACCTTTCAGCAGGAGTAATCTCTGCACAAAATCGCTTTCAATCTGTTCAGCCTAAAATAGAACATAAAGACCAAGAGCATTAGTTACAAAGAGTTCATACAGAAGACGGTATTTGTCATAAGCATATCAAGAATAGCTTTAACATTTGAGTACTCTTGTTTTACTATCACAAATAATAGAAAGATTCACAACATCCATCAATGTTTCCTTTCATTAAAGTGTTAATTTGGTATCTAATGCGGCCTCATTACTTTTGTTCTAAAGTATTCCAAAACAAATCACAGTTCTTCCCTATAAGCATATTCTTATGCCAATAGCCACCGTAATGTAAAAGTCAGTTTAAGACTATTCATTTAATTGCGGTAAATGACAATAAACACAGTAGAAGCGCTCCGTGAAAACATAATCTATTTAATTTCTCATTGACTTACTCATTGACTGAAAAAGAAAAAGAAATAACAAATAAATGCTCGTTTGGTTTAAAGAAACTTGGACACTTGGTAAATCAGGTCATCTCCAAGTCATTTGGTTTAAATGTTGCCTTTATGGAGAAAAAAAAATTCTGATCATATACACAAATAAGCCTCACCAAATAGATCAAAAGCCAGAGTATAACAACGGTTTCAACCCATGTGAGCTAGACTAATGAATCAGATAAAAAAACTTGGAAAAAGTAGCTTGTGTGATTGTGGTGGACAATCTCAAAGACAACAATATAATCATCTTCTACAATAATTCATTTCACTTGGGTTGACTCATTTTTGTTGACTGAATTGGCAACAACACTTACTGAAATGCACCCAAAAACGTGAAAAATTAAAGCTGGAATGAACGATCAATAGCTTATAGCAGAAAATGCAAAGGTTCCTTTAGTCTCAGTACAATATTTACCAATTGAACTTAATCTTATTTGGAGCATAAGATCAAGTTATAGAACACATGGATATTTTTTTGAACACACGGTCTACTACACCAGAACACAACAAGACACCTATGAGTATTTTCAATTAGGCTAAAAAACTTGTAAAACTATGTTACTGCCTCACCCAAAGGGAAAGTCACCAAATATTTTCAATTAGGCTAAAAAACTTGTAAAACTATGTTACTGCCTCAACCAAAGGGAAATTAAAGTCACCAAATAGAACTATTAACATGACACTATTACAGCCCACAAGCAGTTCAACCTAGGCCTCTTAAATTCCAGGGCAATGAAAAAGAGAAGTTATTTAGTGTTTTTTTTGACAAATTTTAACATTGACGGATGAAAAAGTGTTGGTTGTCCATGTTTAATGAAATGTGTTTGTGCAAACAAGGATAGAAGACGTACCAGGAGAAGTGGCGAAGTGTAGAGTGTAGTTTCGATTTCCATGACTTCCATTGAAGAGGAGAAGGATTGATTAGCAGCCATAAACATAGTAGACGAATGGACGAAGTAGACGAAGGGATGCTAGGCGATGTGCGAGCGAATCGGGCCGTACGAGAGGAAGTTGATGAAGTGGGCTGAGGCGCTGAGCTGGCCCTGGGGGCATAGTAGCAGACACCGTTTGAGAGAAAGTTGACGGAGAAAAACGTCGTTGTCCAGCAAAGGAGATAACCTACAAGAAGTCGAAAGATTTTACAAACGACTGAGCATGTTGTACAAGTGAAGTAAGACATGAAGTACACGAACAAATTTTTTAGACCTAAAATGGCCTTACCTTCATTCACCTTTATAAGATTGTAGAGATGTAGAGATGTATAAACATATTTAATTAAATTATATGTACTATATAACAAACACAGACACATACTTACAGACGTGCATACATGTATGTGTATTAGTCATGATTATTGAACTACTACTACGCAAGTATTATATTAGAATACTAAGTAATGACTAAAAATACTTATCATAAATGATATATGAGTTTTAAAAGTGAGAAACTAAGTAAATAGAACACGCACACTACACAAACATATGTATAATATATATAATTAATTGTAGTATAATTGATGAGAAATTTGGAACAACATACATGATTGTAATATGTTTACTTATACTTTCACTTTTATTATTTCCATAGAATTTATTCAAATTGAAGAATTATTATAAATCGGTGTTATCATCTTTTATCGAACACAATATTATTTAGTTTAACTCTTTCAGTGCTATATATATTTATTTATCTATAAAATGGATTTAAAAAAAATACACAAATACGATAATTAAAATATATATGGGGGTACCCGTGGGAAACGGCGGGGTGGGGCGGGGATGGGGCGGGTCTGGGAGTGACGGGTATGGGGCGGGGATGGGGAACTTCTTAACATGGGATGGGGGAAACGGCGGGGTGGCCCTTTGGAAGCCCAACCACAGCTTCAAAACCTAGTCATAGAATCCGCCAAACAGAATCACAAATGTTGAAAAGAAGACTATTAACCTCACTGATATCTTCAACGCCGTTCCGCAATGCAGCCGCAGTCCAGACGAATGGGAGCTCCTGCTCCACGATCCAGCATTCCATTTCCGCACTGGGTTGGTTCTCTGGCCACCAGATTCTGAGGGCGTATAGTCTTCTGAGCCTGAATGACCTCCGGGACAACAAGGGCGCCCGCAAGCCCAACACCCGGAAAGGCCGTGGCATAGGGTCAGGTAAGGGGAAGACTGCGGGTCGTGGACACAAGGGCCAGAAGGCACGCGGCACTATGAAATTCGGTTTTGAAGGAGGCCAGACCCCCCTCCGCCGCCGTCTCCCTAAGCGCGGATTCAGTAATCCCTTCTCTCTCACTTTTCAGGTATGTATTTCAAAGCTTTCATCCATGTCCTAGATGAAGTGAAAATGGGTGTTCTTCATATTGCTCTCTAATGCCCATTTCTCATGATTGCTCTTCTGTCTCAGCCAGTTGGCCTAGGGAAGGTAGCAAAGCTGATAAATGCAGGAAAGATTGACTCATCGGAGTTGATAACTATGAAAACCCTCAAGGTTTGTGTCTTCGCTCCCACTTGAGCTCATCCTTCTATGTTTGAATGATTCTTCCTCGCCTGACTATAGGACTCTGGAGCAGTGGGAAAACAAATTGGAGATGGTGTCAGATTAATGGGACGCGGAGCCGAAAAAATTGAATGGCCCGTTCATTTTGAGGTATAAACATTAAACCTGGGGCTACTCTGTTGGATTTGAACCCCAGTGCTGGTATTCTGTCTAGCAAAACATCTGGCATGTGTGTGTGTCATGCACACACTCACACTCGATGTTTAACCTACAATCCCGTTGTAAAGCTTATTTGAGTTTACCTTTGTAATGTGAGGGATGTGATGTGGGATTACTGGTAGTAATGTTAAGTTGTTGCTTGTTCCTCCTCATATGCTCAGGAATCTCCCCTTTTAGTCCATTTTTTCGCTTCTCCAAGGGTCACATTCCACCCAAATTCTTAGGTATTTTAAGATTGCATAGTTCCATGGAATGTGATGGTGTGGACGAATCAGACTCTGAGTGTAAGCTGATTACCTTGTGTATGTAGGTATTGTTTACTTTTCAATATTCCATCTCACCCCCTTAAATGAGGTATTGACTGTATTGTTGCATTACCTTTGAGGCAGATTAAGCCTTAAGGATAGGGTTCAACTCTATTTTTACCCCATGGGTCAGGGGGTTGGGTTGGGGGGAGCCTGTGGTAAACAGGGTTGGAACTCCCTCCATGGAGTTTCGAACCGTATGGGAGAGTGAGTCGACGACTAGCTGAGCTGGGTTGCTTCCTCGTGCAACTCTTATATAAATGTGTGTGTATATAAATATACATATTTATAGGAAATAATTAGTTATCCAAAACAACAAAATTCATAAACAAACCAACAATAATGTCATAAAGTGATGGAAATCATGAGTTTAGACATAAGATGACAGGAAATCTTTTGTTCTAAAATTCCAAGTTTATTAGATTGATGTCATTGACTGTATATGTTAGCATGGGGAAAAGTAAAAGTGCTTCTAATTATTATCCAACCAAGATTATATTTTTCTTTTTTTTGAAAATAAAGCAATTAACTATCATTCATCAAATCAGTGTTAAGTACATGAACAATGAAATGAAGAGGATGATTATCCCAACAAATACAACTAGACACGGAACAAGCGGCTCTAGCTAATTCATGAGTTGCCCTATTCGCTGATCGTCTAATATGAGTAAAAGAGATGTCGGTAAAACCCAAATTAATCTCTCTAATGTCGCCACCAATAATTGCTGCTAAGGATATACTTGACTCCGGGAGAATCTTCGCTACCGCCCCCGAAGAGTCAGACTCCACCTCTACACCATCCCACCCTCCTTTCATCCAACTCAAAGCTTCCCGAATACCAATCAGCTCGGCTTCCAGAGGGGATAAACTTCCATGCCAAACCTTTGACACACCTGCAACAAAGTTCCCATAACCATCTCCTAGGGTCTGTTTGCAACTGCTTTTAAAAAAGCGCTTCTCAGCTTTTGGCTTTAAAAAAACACTTATTTTCCCAAACACTACAACTTTTATTTTTCTCGGCTTCCGCGTCAAAAGTGCTTTTACTTTTTCTATTACACAAAAAGCACTTATTTTACCAAACACTACCCACTTTTACTTTTCAAAATCACTTTTTTCTCAAACACTATCAACTTTTATTTAATCACTTCTCTCCATTTCATTAAAAAAAGCACTTTTTTAAAAGTAGAAGCTGTTGCAAACAGACCCTTAAAATCCAGACCAGGCCGCACAATTTATCTCTCACGGCCGCATCCACGTTGAGTTTGTATATTCCAGGAGAAGGTCTTCTCCAACCTGAAATTGCAGCTCTTCCAGGATTGTTTGCCTCGCCCACTGTTTTCTGCACCAACCTCCAGCCTTCTACGAACATCCTGGCTTTAACTAAGATTTGCTTCGGATCAGAGATCACCCCATTCCAGAATCTGTTATTACGTTCGCACCAAATACCTCAACACCCCCAAACCAGCCTGTATAAATCCTCCTCTTTTCTAACTTGGAATTCTGCCTGAACCTGCTCCAGGAAAGAATTCGAGGAAGAAACCAACCAGCTCCACCGGATTGAGTCTCAGGCCTCCTTCGCCACCGGGCACTCCACGAAGAGGTGCTGCAGTGTTTCCTCATTATTTCCACAAAGCCCACAGTTGACTGCACAATCTACCTTTCTAAGTTGCAAATTAACTTTTGTAGGAAGCAAGCCACAACATACTTGCCAAAAGAAGAACTTCAATTTAGGAGGAATTTTCCATTGCCAAATCTGAGTCCAGCCAATCCATCCATCACTCGTTATCTCCCCAATTAAAGCTTTATAACAGCTACGAACCGAGAACCTCCCGGTCTTCTCCCATCGCCAACAAAGTCTATCATTAACAGGTCTGTTACTAATTGGAATACCCCTTATGAGCTCAATGTCCCGCAGCTCAAAAATCTCGCTCAGGAGGTCAACATCCCACTCTTTCTTTTCATTACAAAACAGGTTGCACACTCTAGCCTGCTCCAATCCCGAAAATGGAGGTGAAACTATTCTCGGCTGAACTTTATTTGCAAACCAAGGTTCGGTCCAGATATTGATCTCCTTTCCATCCCCCACACTCCAATGATAACCCTCCTTGATAATATCCTGAGTCTGCCAAATGCTCTGCCAAATAAAAGAAGGATTATTGCCCCTTTTCGCATTCAAAAAATTACCATCCCTAATACCGGGCCTTATATACATTTCCCACTAAGGAATTTGGTTCAGAAAAAATTCTCCACGCTTGCTTAGCAAGCATGGCCAAATTAAACTCCCTGAGTTTTTTGAAACCCAAACCTCCCACATTTTTCGGTCGGCACATAAAATCCCAGTTCCTCCATCTAATGCCTTTCCCGGATTTTCCTTGCCACCAAAACTCATTCATTAAAGTTTCAATCTCTTTACACACATCTTTCGGTAACAAAAACACATTCATTGCATATGTGGGCATAGCTTGGATAACAGATTTAAGTAAAACTTCCCGCCCAGCCTTAGATAAAAATTGATTATTCCAAGTTTTGATCCTAGCTATCATTTTCTGGCGGAGATAGGACAATATATTTTTTTATTACGCCCAACAGTAGCCGGTAATCCCAAGTATCGCTCCTCCCCTCCAGCAAATTCCACCCCCAAAAGTTCCTTCAAACCATCCTTAATATCAGCTGATACATTAGAACTGATTTTTTTTTTTTGATTTACCCAAATTGATTACCTGCCCGAAGCCTGGGAGTGATCATTCAGAGCCTCTTTGATGATGGAAGCTTCACCGTGATTCGGTTCAAAAAATAGCAGACTATCATCTGCAAAAAATAAGTGAGAAATTTTAGGGGCCCCGTGCTACCGCTACTCCATGTAACCGACCCGCCCTCTCAAATTTTTTCAATAGGGCACTCAAACCTTCTGCAACCAAAATAAATAAATAAGGTGACAACGGGTCACCCTGTCTCAAACCCCTCCTAGGAATAATAGGTCTCAACTCCGAATCATCAAAAGGAACTGAGTAAGTCACCGAAGTCACACACTCCATAATCAATTGTACCCATCGAGAGTCAAACCCCAAATAAATCAACATCCCTTCTTAAAAAGGCCATTCAACTCTATCATATGCCTTACTCATGTCCAATTTAAGACTAACAAAACCAGTCTTACCCTGAGTTTTTCTTTTTAAAAAGTGCTGGGTCTCGAAGGCAATCATGATATTTATCTATAATGGATCTACCCGAAATAAATGCACTTTGTTGCTCCGAAATACGTAAATTAAGAACAACTTTCATTCTGTTGGCCAGGACTTTCGAAAAAAATTTATAAATAACATTGCACAATGATATGGGCCTCCAATCCCTTAAACTCTCCAGATTCTCCTTCTTTGGTATTAAAACAATATTAGTATGATTGATTTTTTCCGGGAGTTTACCTGACTGAAAGACCTCCGAGCAAAATTTGATAACATCAGGGCCTACCACGTCCCAATAGTGCTGAAAAAACCCTGGGCTCAGACCATCCGGACCGGGAGATTTGTCCGGGTACATATCAAAAACTGCAGCCTTTACCCCTTCCCCCCTGATCGGCCTCAGCAAACTTGTATTATGAAAAAGCTCCACCTTCCTGGGAACACAGTGAAAAATAAAATCACCTGAAGTGTGCACAGAAGAAAAAATATTAGTAAAATAATCGCTAATCAGGTGACCAACTTCCACCCTATCGGTTTCCCACCCTCCATTCTCTAAACAGAATCCTTCCACTATTTTTTTGCCTCCTTTGTTTCACGGAATTATGGAAGAAACATGTATTAAGATCGCCTCCTTTTAACCAAAACTCCTTTGCCCGTTGCCTCTAGAATAAATTCTCCTCCAATAAATCAAGATACTCTCGCTTTACTTTCTCAAAAATGCTCAGATGCCAATCATCCGAAAACCTCCGTAAATATTCCAACCTTTTCCTGCAAAATTGAATCCTTTTGCCCAACGACCTTGCTGCTGTGCGACCCCAATCTTCAACCGACTTACAGCAAACAGCAATCTGCCCCATGATGCCCAACCTTTCTCCCAGACTCCAACTTCTAGCTACTATCGAACGGCAATCTTCATCTCGAAGCCAGAAGTTCTCAAACTTGAACTTGCTGCGTCTATGAAAACTCCTAAAAGGGAGTAGCTTAATGAATAAAGCTAAGTGATCACTCGGCGCTCCCTCCAAAGATTCAGCCACTGCCCCACCAAAGATGTCCAGCCAGGACTCAGAAACGAGGATTCTATCCAGCTTCTCTTCCACCCAATTCAGAGACCCCCGCCATCTCTCCCAAGTATATTGGTATCCTTGAAAAGGAAAATTTTGTAAACCGCAAGACCGCACTGCTTCCCGAAACCCTCTTAATAACCAGGGAGGATGTGGAATACGTCCACGTTTATCCGAAGGCACCATGAGGTCGTTAAAGTCTCCCATTACTATCCAAGGCAACTGAGGTTCCGGATTAAGAGCTATTAATCGATCTCATGACTCCCTCCGTCTATTCTGGTCTGGACAACCGTAAAAACCGGTGAAACGCCACTCCTTGTCCTCGGGCTCCAATCGAATATTGGCATCTATGTGATGAGAAGATGAGTCTCGGATATAAACTTGTACCCCTTCTCTCCATAATAATGCTAGCCCGCTCCTGCCACCTTCATTGTCAACCACATAGCACAAACGCAAACTCACTTTCCTCATCACAACCTCTACTCTACTTCTATTAGAAAAAGTCTCCATTAGAAAAACTAAACTCGGCTTCTTCAATTGAACTAAAGTCACCAACGCCTGAACTGTCACAGGATTGCCGAGCCCACGACAGTTCCAACTTAAGCAACTCATTGCTCTCGGCGGGCCTGGCTCCCTGGTCCCGCTGTTTCCCCGTTTTTTGTCACAGTATACTCCATAGAAGTAGAATTCAAAATACTAGTTCCAAACCCCGAATCTTCTGCTTTCCTTTTCTTCATAAATCCTCCAGTTGCATTTGATATGTCCACTGCCTCTTCATAGTCTCTCGTACTTTACCTCCATTTCCACACTTTCCGCCTCCCGTTTAAGGTTTAGCCTATTTCTCAACGGTTTATCAACCTGAAGCTTGACCTTGATACGCATAAACTCTTTCCATCCTCCGGTGAAATTATTCGGGTTCGACTGCACAAAGAATCCCAAGCGATTGCCAATTAATTGGGCTGTCTTCTCTGTAAAGTATCGCCTCGGAAGTTTGTAAATCTGCACCCAGAAAGTTTCAGTCTCAAGTGGCACACAAGTAGGATCCTCCTCTCCATCGAGCCTGTGCAACACTAGCAGATTATTCTCGAAAGACCAGGGGCCATCGGAGATAACTCGTAAAACATCCGCCTCTTGAAAGAATTGAAAGAGAATTCTTCTATCCCCAACCTCCCGAATATGAACCCCTCTGCTTGGTCTCCATATATCAGCAATAACCTCCCTGAAGACATTGAATTTATAAGATTTTTCCGTCAGTAAGCGTCCCACGATACACAACTGTGAAGACGTCGACTCATTCTGCAGGGCTGAGTCGTCTAACTCCACTTCCTCCTGTTCTTCGTCATCCAAATTCAACCTAGCGTAAAGGTCCTCCATCTCTGACGCCATACAATCCAAGCTAGAGAAGAAATAACGATCAATTCACTCAAAAGGATTAACGAAGAGCAAATCGGCACAAACCCTAGACTCCTGGGGAAGAACACTGAAATTTCTTTATAAAATTTTTAACGCACGAAATATTAACATTTTTCTCAAATTTGATTGGAACTTAAGATTATATTTTTCTATGTACACATAAATGCATAAAAAACTAACAGTAACAAATCTAGGCTCACCCGACAAAAAAATAATAATATTAAATATAATATTACTGTAAAAATTTAGAAATCAGCATACCTTGAACTACGTGACGTGAAGAAGTGACGGCAAAAAAACCTTGTAGAGTTGTAGACCAGTGATGAAGAGCCGATAGAGCCAATGAGGATAGGTATGCGTAGCATGGTTTGAATAAAAACTGTGCCCAGTTATTATTTAACTATGACACTTTCATGTAATATTGCTGAAACTCCAATTACATAAGCCTTGCTGTGCCCCTAATTGTTCGCCTTATGGTGTGTGTGTTGCACATATAAAGGCATATGCCTCGGACCCTCGGTATTGTGTGAAACTTGTTGCGCTTTGAATGGTAACCTCACTAAAAATCTGTGAGGCGCGCCTCAAGGCGCTATTGCATTGTGCAATTTCAAACCATGATAATTACCCCCTCACATCCCAACCAAACTCATCAGTCAAGCTTACATCCCTCTATACTCACATTACCTCAAGGGAGTAATCCTACTAAGTTAATCTTACGTTTTGTGAACTGAACACCCCCTGAAAAGAAATGAACCCTTTCTGGAATGGTGTGCTGACTTGTTATGTTGATTGTTATAAAAGTGCACATCTTCTTGTATATAGGTTTCCAGGGTAACAGCTAGAGCAAAAGCAGCGGTGGAAGCTAAAGGCGGTTCAGTGAGGAAAGTGCACTACAACAAACTTGGTCTGCGTGCACTACTCAAACCTGAGTGGTTCGAGAAGAAGGGCAGATTACTCCCAAGACCTGCAAGGCCGCCTCCTAAACTAAGAGACAAAGTTGATAGTGTAGGGCGCCTTCCCGCTCCTACCAAGCCTATCCCTTTTATTACTCCTGAAGAGAATGATGAAGACGTGTCTCCATCCCCTGCATCCACTACCTGACAATTTAACTTCTTTGTGGGATTTTCATAATTTTGTAGATCACCAATACAGTTGAAATACTATTTTTTGTGGGATTTTCATAATTTCTCATTAGTACAATAATACCAGATACACGTAGAGACAAAGACACAATGTTTGAATTGAAGCTTGTCATCAATAAGTTGTTATTCCGTGGGAGGAGTCTATGGTGGTGAGCACGGGTGCTCCCACAGCTAAAACACGCGTGAACAGCAGTAGCGTGAACCATTTTTTTTTTTTTTGTTCCACTAGGAGGGTGATGTAACTCGCATGTAAGAAATGTAACTTATGTTGATAAGAAATGTAACTGCGGACAAGTCAAAATGTAACTTGTCTAATACGGAATATAAAAAATTAAACATTAATTTCATTGTAAATAATGATAAAAAGGAGTCTAATTGCTTAATTACATTACATAAAAAGTGAATATGTTTTGTTTTTTTATATTAAGGCCATGAAAATGATTTTTTAAAAAAATCATTCTTTTTTCTTACAACAAAACAATTTGTTTCCCAAATGAAATGATTTTTTGTTTCAATAGTAAGGTAACCTGTGTCATGAAAAAAGTAATTTGGGTTGATGAAAAATTTAATTTAGATGCATGCAAAATGTAACTTGTTGAGACAAGTCTAAATGTAACTTAACGCATAAGAGAATGCAAAAAATATATATAATCTGCGCATAATAAGATGTAATTTGCGCATAAAAAGATGTATCTTGCGTATAATAAGATGAAACTTGCGCATAAAAAAATGTAACATGTACCTAAAAATATGTAGTCGCAAACCCATATACTAACAAATGCAATTCCACGAATCGAAATAAACAAACTCAATGTATTAAAAAACTTCTAAAAAGGTATAAAAGAAATAAAATATATAATATAGATAAAAAGTGTATGAATATAAAAAAAATTACAAAAAAAATGTATAATACAAAAAACATTACATAAAAAAATATAGTGTATGAATGTGAAATGCAATATGGTTATTTTATTTAGATTAAAATTGCAAATATACTTTTAGTCTGAACTTCTTTCTAGGGCTTCTGATCAAGCAAATGCCAGACGGAATATTCATCAACCAGTCCAAGTACATCCATGATATGCTCAAGCGTTTCAAAATGGATAGCAAGTCGACGATGAAAACCCCAATGTCTCCCTCACAAAAGCTCGACTCGACTCTGACCCCTCCGGAAAATCGGTCGATGCTACCAATTATCGGGCCATCATCAGATCCTTGCTGTACCTGACATCTAGCAGACCGGATATTGTTTTTGAAACCTGCCTGTGTGCCCACTTTCAAGCAAATCCCAAGAAATCACATCTGGATGCAGTAAGAAGAATACTGAGATATCTCAAAGGAACAATTAATTTGGGCCTTTGGTATCCCAAGAGATCAGGTTTTGACCTAGTGGGATACTCAGATGCTGATTTTGCGGGTTGCAGACTAGACATGAAAAGTACATTCGACGGTTCTCAAATTCTTGGTGATAAGTTGGTGTGCCGGTCCTCTAAGAAGCAGAATTGTGTGTCCACTTCTACAGCTGAGGCGGAATATGTCGCGGGTGCTAGTTGCTGTTCACAAATACTATGGATGAGGACCCGGCTGAAAGATTACGGGTCCACATTTTCACACATCCCGATCTACAGCGACTCTCAAAGTGCAATCGTCATCACGTGCAATCATGTCCATCACTCAAGGACGAAGCATATTGACCTCAGATATCATTTCATCAAGGATCACGTTGAGAAAGGCACCGTGGACATGTACTTTGTGTCCACAGAATTGCAACTGGCTGATATTTTCACGAAGGCCCTGGATGAAAAGAGATTCAATTTTCTGATCTCTAAGTTGGGGATGTTGAACCTGAACAATTGAGTAAATCTGAACTGCGCGCGCGTGTGCTTTTATTTTTTTCTTTTAAACATTTTTCAAAATTTGCATTTTTTTCAATTTTCTTTATTCTTTATTTTAATTTTATTTTTCATGCGTCTCATTTTTTTGCATCTCATTTTATTTTTTTCATCATTCTTAAATTAAATTTTCAATGCATAAATTGAGGGGGAGCTTTTAAAAAATGTGCATAAGTTGAGGGGGGGTTTCTAAATTTTCATTTTCATAAGAAGCAAGTGTTGAGGGGGAGCTTTTTCAAAAATCAATTGGACCCGTTAAGTCTGAACTTTCCCGGCCCCTTTTAAAAACCCCCAAATCGCGCAACCCCCCTCCTCATTCATCTTCGTGCATCCAAAACTTCGCGGAGCAAACAAAATCGATTTCCATCTCCTCCTCTTCGAGCTTCAATCAAAGGGTAAAATCTCCATACTTGCTTGCTTTTATATGAACTAGATTCTCACCCGTGCGATGCACGGGACATAAATAATGTAATAGTTATTCTCTTTTTTTTGTTAATATTATTCAATTATTAATTCATGTAGAAATGTATGCAAATAACACGATGAAGTTTTGCACTTGAGCGATCTTCTGTTCTGTTTTTGTTGTCATTTTTGCAGGAAAATGTTTATAGGGAAGTGTTTCTAGGTTTGCAAGGATTCATTCTGTGAAAAATCGCACCCAGAAAGTAATCATTATCATTACCTCAGTGCCTTAAAGGCTCCCACCTACGGCATGGTAAGGGAAATCGGACGTACACAACCTTAATCATGTTCTAAAGCACAGAGAAACTGTTTCAAGATGACCCATGCTGAAATCGAGTCGAAAATTGCAACGACGTAATATACATAATAAATTATAATTAAGGAAATGATAGTCAGGACTCATGCATTAGTAGTAAGTATGTTTTCTAACATTATTATAAGAAATAATCATATAATACACAATAGTAATGAGGATTGATATAGTTAGGTGCGTCTGAACAGATGTCCCGTACGGGCAAGCCCGTTTTACGTTCTTTCGGATCGAATTTTATGAGCACATTCTTCATAAGCTTAGATTATCTCCACAAAATTTTGTGTAGATAATTCACATGAATGAAGAACATGCTTACAAAATTTCATTAAAAAAAACGATCGGGAAACACCTGGCATGGGCTTGACCAGACGGGACTCCTCGTTAGTCTGGACTAATGAGATAAGTTCTCTAATAATAATAATAATAGTAATAATAATAATCATAATAAAATACAACATTTTAAATTATTGATGTTATAAACTTAACTACCCTTTATTAACTAACTCAATAAAAATTACTCATATAATAATAATAACAACTATCACTATGTACGGGCCAATGGATATACTTAAATCAGATGAACTCCATTTTATACCGCCCGTTTTACATCTGACTTAGCCCAACATCTTAAATTAAAAGCTACCTAAACCTAGCCCACCCTATATAAACGCCTTTACCTTTCGGCCATACCATTTACACTTGAGCCTTCTTCACAGACCATTGGATCATTTATACGGTGTATGTAATCCTGTGTACCCGTCCAATTCACAGAGCATTAGTTGCTCAACCTTCGGCCTCTAGCTATGGTTTTATTCAGATTCCCACCATTCTCTCCATACATGCTCCACTCGGCCTCTCAAAATGGAAAATATCTATGTACATCCGACCCCATCTCGATGTACAGCTCAAGGTGAGCTGAATGTTTTCGCCCGATGTTGACATTTTCTGACCTTTGCTACAGCTACAACGGCTGGGGGATAATCAAGGGATTCCAGAGTCCAGACCTCTTCTTTCTTCACTCTGGTAAATCACTAAATCCTATACTACTAATACATTGGTATTAGTTTTTCTGTACATGCGGTTCTGTATGATTTTTCGTAAAAGATTTATTTATTTTACCAAATACTTATACGGTTTCAAAATAAGAGAACCTGTCATGAGATTAACTTACTAAATTTGCATTTTTTAACTCATTCAGACATCTGCTCAGATACATTTCATTTCGATGCACATATTTGTAAAATGATATCATATGGTTACCAACCTTGATATACTCTGTTTCGAGGTATTTAAATTTGGATCTATTTATATTGTATTACTAACAGAGTTTTATCTAATTTCTAATATTTTGAATTTAATGCCTGTCCTAATATTATTTGTATTATTACTAAATTGTACTCCATAAAAATATAATGTAATGATATGGTGGTTTTCACATATTTTGAAAGATCATTTTTATATAAAGGTTATTTAAAAAGTTTTCTTGATCCAATTTAATAAAAAAAGCGATTTCTCCTTATAAAAGATTCTAGATATATATATTATTACTGACATTAAATTAGGTCTACCCCAATTTGGTAATTCAACAATGAAATATATGGCGTTGTGTATTCATGCCAAAATTCTTAAGCCAAAAACGTTGAAGTCCAAACTTGCTTTTAAATATTAATGATTTCATCTGCTCCTTGTTTCCTCCACATCCCGAATTCTTTTTAGCATCCTTCTACAAACTGATAAAATGACAATTTTAATTTTAAGGAAAATTAAAATTTGATTATGATTTTGATTTTGTCGTGCTCAGATAATATATGAAACAATAAAAATATTTTTTATTGTCAAGGAAAATTAATTTGATTTTGTTAAATTTCTGGTCATTATGTAGCCTGTTTGTAAATATATGTCATACATACTATCAGTCATGTACTGATTTTTTAAAAACATTTGGTTTTTCCTTCAAGTTGGAGTTTGTTTTGAATCTATTTACTCCGTTGTTTATTGAGTAGTACTTCCATGTTTAAATTTTTTGTCTTTATGTAGCCATGGTCATTCTTGAAATATTATACATACCCATTTATATATAGAACGTATGTTTTAAAAAAAAGGTTTATAAAACCATAGATTCAAATAATTTTTCTGTACTGTATGCTGGTTGTGGAATTCATCTTTCCTGATTTTTGTTAGAAAATATGTTACCTGCAAAATGTAAACAGATTTGAATAACTTTAAGCATCAGATTCACGAAGATATAATATGAACTTACACATCCCTGAGATGGATATAGTGACTATTAGCTGTTGATGCATATATATATATATATATAGAGTAGGGATCAAATAAGAATAGCATCTAATGAGAGAAATAAGAATGAATGAGGGCCCTTAGATTTCACAAATCTCTTAGATTAATATAATAATCCGTGTGAGGCTACAAAGGTCATTTTGGTATCTTTTCTTTTGAAAACGATCTACCGTCTCATCTTTCTCGTCCACCTTCATCGGCAAGCTTTTTTCTTTTCTCTCTCTCTTCTTCATCGGCGACATCTTCACAGTTTCTCATCTTCATCGGTGGCCTCTCCACGGCTTCTCGTCTTCTTCGCTCGTCTTCGTCTTTCATCTCTCCTCTATTGCAGAATTTCTATTATATCACATCCATGGA